CTCATGTCAAGTGGGGCTCAATGGACTGATGAAATAGATGGAGGAGTTAGTTTTGTTATAAATAAGATAGGAGACTTATCTCCTTCTAAAGGTAATTTTCATGACTATAACCACAAAGTACTTTTCATGACTATAATCAAAAATGAGCTAAATAAATATATTTATAAGATGGGAATTAATTTTTTCAGACTAGCTGCAAATACCGAATACACGTTTTGTTTGGAAATACTCAACACTGATTATAATCTTTGGAATAATACTCAAATAAGTGTTGATAAAGGAACTTCGACAGGATTATCAATTGGAAATTTAGGCGTAAAAAAACTATCCCATAACTATACTGATTCAACAGGGAAAACACAAACTATGTACTACCACAGAATAATAGTTAATTTCCGGAAGTTGTCATCTGGGAATAAGTTCTTTCTTCACATTTTGGTCTATATTCTTCGGGGTGGATATAACCTGGCTACGTATCGGAGACAGTTTTCAGGAGTTTATATTATTGCTTATGGTATTATGGGTACATTTAGCAATATCGATCCAGATAAAGTTTACGACTATCACACCGCATTTGATATTAAACCAACAGAAGTTGTGTACAACGTTGACATCAACACAAATAATAAAAAAATATTAAACATCAATCTTGATAAAAACAATAACAATAGCGCGGCAACAGTTGGAATGGTAAAGGAATTAAATCCTTTCACTATAAATGATTTATACAGAAATTATTTCGAAGAAGTTTATGATTTTACTAATGCCGCTAATTACAAAGTAAATACCTCCTCATCTGGTATTGTTTTTAACTATTTATCTTCTAGTAGTGGTAATAGTTTAAGAGACATTAATATACCTGATAAAACCATAGATAATATAAGAAAAGAAGGATTGAATATAAAAAATTATAATATTAATTTTTCTATTACTGATGGTATAACAAAATATACTTTATGTCTTGTTTTTCATTTTTGGAGAAATAGAAATTTTAGTATAAAGAAAAAAAATCGAAATTCTAAAAGTGATATATTATCTTTAAACTATACTAGTAATAATAACAATTTTAATTTATATATTCAGGGACGATATTTAAAACATCTTTACTTTCCAAATGATTTTGATAATAAAAAAATTATTATATGGTTAACAGAAAATGCCAACGCTAATATTACAAAAGTAAAAATAAGTAACTGCAGTGCAATATTAAGTGTATCAAGCGTTGGTTACTCCCGCGAACAAGAGTTTGTGTTTACAACTCAAGATGGAATTTTAAGTAAAATAATGTTTTCTCCAAACTTTTACGACGACGACTAAGAGCAATATCATAAAGTATTGCTTCAAGAAAAGTTAAATGGAAATTACGTTTTATAAGGAAACCTATGGTTCCCCTATTACCCCTCCCTAAGATACACCGCATTAATATAAACAAAAGAATAAAATGAAGGATATCTTTGAATTCAATCACATAGATAAATCTCTGTCAGAATCAGACGTTAAAACCCTCAAAGACTTTTATAAACACTACCACAAAAAATACTGGTGTTTTAAGAAATCGTATAAGAGTTATAAATTTCTTGACGATGATTTTACAATCTCTGGAATATGCTTGGTTGCGATTGGAACTATTTCTGGTGGAATAACACTAAACCCTGTTGTTCTCGGAGTAGTAAATGGAGCTGGAGTTATTGTGACAGGAATAGGAAAGAAAAATAATTATAATAGAAAAATTGAGATGACAAGAATTGCATTCACTACTTATGAAAAAGTACTTGTTGAACTGCGTGCAGCTCTTCGGGGAGATGAGTTTAATAAACAAGAGTTTGTTGATCGCATGAAGTTGGTAGATGAAATGATAATCGACCAAACACTTATAGCAGATAGATTTTCTAGTAGGTATGGTAAAAAGTTCGAACTAAGTAAACAGTGATTTTAATATCAAAACAATATTAAAATCTAGCCGGTTTTGAGAGATTTATAACTATCCCACCAATTTTCATAATTTTCTAAAGTTTTTGGTGAAATTTTAAGATAAATTAGTTTGTACTTTTCACAACCCATCTCAGCCAAAAGTTTTTTGATTAAATAAAAAATACTTATCATTCTCTTTCTACAGTATTTCTTGTTTAGTATTTCCATAACATTATTATCTATTTCCATTAGCTTACTGTAAAGTTCGTATTTTTGTTCATCATTTAGGTTTATTCTTTTAGAAACTTGATTAACCTTTTTCTCATAGTGATACTTACGCTGATATACACTCTTTTTTCGATAATATAATCTATCACAATCTTTAATATCGTAAAATCCTAATACATGTCCGTTTGCTACTCCACATTCATCACAAATTTTATAACCGTAATCAATTGTAAAAGATATACTGTTTTCACAATTACTACATTTAGCTTTCAAATTTGATTCCTCAATGGGTTTACTAGTATAATTATGTAATATTTCTAGATAATTCTTTATTTGGTCTTCTGTATATGACATTTATTATTCATTAAATAACTATCTTATTATCTTAAAGCTATCGTTTTTACCTTACCCAAGAGGACTTCACGCTTGTCATCTTCATTACTTAGAGCTACTTTGTTAACTTCTTTCGAATATATATCATGATTTTCACTTCTTATTATATTCATCTTTCTCATTTCTTTTTTACCTGAAAATAAACATTGAACATAGTCATCAAAATCTAATTTCTTTTTCACAACATTTTTTTTTATTCCTTTACATTTTCGCACCTCTTTATCCTCTTCTATTCTAAAACTGTAAAGTTTTGGTCGTAATCCAACAAAACAAGTTATTTGTTTTCCTGCTACTTCATCTTTAAACATTCCAATTACTTTTTTGTTAACTCCTGTCAGTATTCCAGATGGATGATTGGGAGGGTAATCAGATGTGTCAAACTTGTTTTTTATGTCATGTGATATATCTTTGTAAAAATCATCTGTGTAAATTTGGTACATTAATGAGTCTGTATCTGTAAACAATAATTCGGCTTTATTTTTGTATTTCTTTCTGATGTAATTATAATGAAAATCAAACATTAATGTTTTTGACAAATCAAGAATTGCTTGACCAACATATACTGGTTTGTCAAAATAAATTTCGGTTTTTTTCATATGAACTGCTATAAGATTTTTATCAAATATCGTAGCCCTATCAAAGTTTGGACGACTTGTTAGTTTAGCAGCTTTCTTACGATTATCAACGAGTTCTATATTTTGTCTTTTCCTTATATTTTCTATTGTTTTTCCAAACACTGAATTATTCATAAGTTTAAAAAAGTCTTTCTCAAAACTGTTAGCTGCTGTTTTTCGAAGTTCAGTGTTTTTTCGTATATATGGTTCCATCCAAGGAGATTGGTAAAAAGATATTCCTCTATGAACCGCAGTTATTCTCATTCCCATCTCAAGATACTGCCTTAAATTTCGATAATGTACAAGATAATTTTTTCTTGGTTTAAAATGACAAATTAATTTTTTAACGCCATTAACAACCATCTTCTCAGGTGCTAAAGGATAGTCATTATGTTTTTCCCATAAGGATGAAGGATATTCCAAATCAACTTCAAATATATATCTTTTTCTTCCACGATTCGACATACTATGATTTACTTTTTCTAGGATTTCCATTAATGTCTCTTTTGTTAGGTTTCTCATCCATTTAAA